GGGTGCTCTTGTCCTGCTCTCACACTGCGTCAGGTGTTGGATGTCACCGAGGTCAGCCTGGTTGTGATGGTGCCAGCTGCTGCCTGGGACGTCCAAGGAGTTCTTCCTGCACTCATGCAAGTGGACTGGGGCCTGTGGGCTCTGCTCAGACCCAGGGTGGGGGCTGTCCTCACCCCAGGCCTCTTTACTTGCACACCCCTCTGTGGCCCCGTGGCCTCTGTCTCTCTCTCTGCTCTCCCTGTGGCCATCTTGGCCTTCCCCTTCGAGCCGCCTGGCTGCCTGCTCTTGAGAGCGCGCTTACTGCTGTGGAATGGTTTTTGGATTGTTTCCTTAGCGCTCTGGTCTCCTTTCCTTCCTTCTGTTGTCTTCTGTTGTCCTTTCCCCTCTCTGAGTGGCAAGTCTGGTTGCGATGCCGTCTGCTAGGTGTCTGGACCCGCGTGCACTTGGGGTTCCGCCTGGTCTCGTGGGTTCTCCAGCATTTCCTCCTTCTCTGGCTTGGCCCAAGTGTGTCCTTGCCTTTTGCCCCGCCTCCCTCCACCCTGGCTTTCTCTGGGTGCAGGTGCCACGTCCCAGGACATCCTGCTCAGCCTTCACCTGGCTCCTCCTCCTCTGGTTCCCTTGGATTCTGTGAAATGGGCGCTGGGCGCGTGGTGCGACATCCTCATCTGGGGCCAGTTTGCCTTTCTCCCTCCCAGCTGCAGAGTGAAGAGGGTGTTTTCTTGCCAGCCACTTTCTTTAGCCTGAGGGCACAGAAGGGGAGGGAGGGGAGGGCTAGGCTGGGTAGGAGCAGGCCTTGGGGACTGGGGGCGGCAGGTCCTGCCCTCTTCCCAGATCCTATCTAGGATCCTGAGCACCGGGTCCTGGGAGGTTGGAAGTGCCAGCCATCCCTCCCCCTGCCCACGGTCGGGAGCTGCACTCTCGGACAGTTGTAGTATACGGTTTCTCTGGTCAGTTATCTCAGACAGACGATCTGGACATATTGGATGAAGGGACCCCTGTGTGGGAAAAGTCGTCACCGCTTTAAAGAAGTCCTGTAGGCTGAGAGACGTCAAGGCACCTCCCTGGGCTTCTCTACTGCCCGTGTCGGAGGCAGGGTTCTGACCTGGCTCCAGGGTATTCCTGCCAACAGTTGTCCCTTGCCCTGTAACTTGTGTGGGCAGCACCTCTCAAAGGGTTCCTCTGCCCGAGTGTGGCTGGGGGCTGCAGAGCCGTACTCACAGGCTTCTGCCGAGAGCTGCTCTGAGTGCGTCTTCGTGCCCCCACGAGTTCGCCTCCCGGGGACCCTCAGAGGGGAGCGCCTAGGGCAGAGTGCACACCGTGAGGCGCTCCACCCTGTGGCAACTCTCCTTCTAGGAAGACTCGCAGTCTTCCCTCCGCTGCTGGTGCAAGGGAGAACCCCCACCCCCTGCCCGGTGCCAGGCACGACTTCTGAGGCGCTGCACCCGTCTGATACAGAGCCTCCTTGTCCCTCCGCTGGGGTGGCTGCTGAGCAGGGGGTGGCGGCCGACCCTGGTGCCTTCAGGAGGCCTGGCACAGCCACACGTGATACCTCGTGAGGAGAAACAGCAGCTGGTGCTGAACTCGATTTAACAATTCAGCTGCGGCACCTTAAAGGGAGCTGAAACTTGCCGCTCGCTCTCAGCGTACTCTGCTGTTCCCACAAGCATTTGGTGGTGTAGGCGTAGGAACTGACGTGGTCATTGAGCGAGAGCTGTCTGGGATGAGTGCGTATGTCTCCCTGGTGTCCTCGTGTGTCCACTGGAGTGGCCGGAGCAGCGAGGGCCGCTGTCCACACGGGTGTGGGGAGATCCGCACAGGGCTTCCCACCACCGCCGCATCATGGACAGTCTCTTCCAGAAGCCTGGTTGCGGGACCAGGCCTGCGCCGCACACTCTTGGTGTGGAGTTCAGCTGGCTCTGTGTACCCAGCGCCTCTGGGAGCCCCCAGGGGAGAGGAGAGTCCTTCCTCCCTGTTGTTATAGCTGCCGTCAGGTTGGCCCCCGACTCAAAGGTGCCCCATGCACAATGGGATGGAACGCCGCCCAGTCCTGCGCCATCCTCACGATCGGCTGCAGACCGGACCGTTGTGATCCACAGGGTTTTCACTGGCTGATTTTCGGAAGTCGATTGCTAGGCCTTTCTTCCTAGCTTGTCGTAGTGTGGAAGCTCTGCTGAAACCTGTTCACCATCACAGCAACACACAAGCCTCCACTGACAGATGGGGGGTGGCTGTGCGTGAGGTGCACGGGCCGGGAGTTGAGAAGGTGAGAACTCCACCCCTGACCCATCACTGCCTCCTGTTCTTCCCCATTGTTAGTTGCAGTTGAGTCGATTCCGACTCATGGCGACCTCAAGTGTGTCAGAGTAGAACTGTGCTCCAGAGGGTTTTCAAGGCTGTGATCTTTCAGAAGCAGATCTCCAGGCCTGTCTTTCAAGGCATCTCTGGATGGTTGCGAACCGCCAACCTTTTCAGCTAGTAATGGACTACTCAACCATTTGCACCATCAGAAATCTCTTGAGTGATGAGCTGTTAAGCTGAAGGTCAAAGGCAGCCTGTTTTCAGTTGTGGTAAGTCGTTTGCGGCCTGTGTTACCCTTGGGGTTGTGGTCCCCCATGCCCCCGGTCAGCCTTGGGGCCTGACCCTGGACCACAGGCTGGGAAAGGCAAAGTCTGCATTGGCGCCAGTGGCAGGGGCTGCTGCGGCCAACTCTGTGCTCAGCCCCGGCTCTCGCGGATGGTGTAGGAGAATGCGCACTTGAGAACGTGGACTAAGAAGAGGGGCCGCAGCTCCGTGGGGTGCCCTGGGCCTGGGTGGAGAGGCTGCAGCAGGTTGTGTATTGCTCAGGAAAACCAGCAGGCTTTGGGGGTGGTTCGGATGGGTGGGGTGTCAGTGCTGCAGCCTAAAGAGAGGTGTGAACGGCGCTGGGACCCAGGGCCTTTCTGGACACCTCCCCAGGGCCCCCGTGTGGCCTGTGGGAAGGTCGGCATGGTACCTCCGTGGGGCTGCCTGTCTGTAGTGTGGCCGGCTGAGGCCATGCTGCCTCAGGAGGCTCCCTCTCCAGGGGGCTGGTTGCTGACTCAGTGATCCAAGGGCTGTGATTTCCGGGTCCTGCAGTGAGGCCCAGGCCCTGGAGGAGGTATCCCACGTTGGGTTTCCCTAAACTGTCTTTAGAAACGTCCCATTTAGAAGGGCAGGAAGTGATGGGATGCATCCTGAAGAATCAGTTGCGCATTTTAATAAGCAGTGATGTTTAATGGAGGTCAAGTTCTTATTTCCACACTTTGGAATGTGGAAGGAAGTCTAAAGTATCGTAAAGCTAAAAAAACAACCAAAAAAAAAAAACAAAAACCCCAAAACCTAACCTGTTGCTATTGAGTTGGTTCCGACTCATGGCAACCCCCACGTGTTATAGGGTAGAACTTCTCCGTAGGCTTTTCTTGACTATAGTTTTTATGGACGCAGATCGCCAGGCCTTTCTTCTGCAGCACCACTGGGAAGGTTCAAATTACCAACCTTTAGATTAGTAGCAACAGCATTTATGTATACATACATATACACGTTTAAAAAAACAAAAACAAAAACCTTGTGTCGTAGAGTTATAGCCAGTCTATAGAGAGAGTAGCCGCATAGAGTTTCCAAGGAGCAGCTGGTGGATTCAAACTGCCGACCTTTTGGTTAGCAGCCAAGCTCTTAACCACTGAGCCACCAGGGCTACACACGCACACGCACACACACTGTTGTTAGGTCCTGTTGTGTGGATTTCGACTCATTAGTGACCCTGTGTGACAGAGTAGAACTACCCCATAGGGCCTCCTAGGCTGTAATCTTTATGGAAGCAGATCACTACCAGGTCTTTTTCTGCCGAAGAACCACTGGGTGGGCAGCTACGTGTTTAACCATTGTGCCACCTGGGCCCCTTAAGCGCTGTGCCACCAAGCCTACACACACATACGTTGTTGTTAGGTGCTGTTGAGTGGATTTCGACTCATTAGTGACCCCATGTGACAGAACAGAACTGCCCCCTTAGGGTTTCCTAGGCTGTAATCTTTACGGAAGCAGATCACCAGGTCTTTCCTGTGGAGCCCCTGGGTGGGCAGCTGCGTGCTTAACCATTGTGTCGCCAGGGCCCCTGGAGGGAATGAGACGGCATTAAGTCAGAGGGTGAGAAGGCGTGGCTGTGGCAGTCTAGAGGGGAGCCTGTTCCTCGCTCTGTCCTGGCTTCGTGGAGGAGCCTGGTCGGGGGCAGACACAGGGCCAGGGTGGGGCCCGTCTTGCTAAGGAGCAAGGATGTCATTCCGAGGGATGACATGCTCTGGTTTTTGTTTCTGAAACCGGCTTGCTATAGGGAGGGCAGGAGTAGACGCTGTGAGACATGTGGCTGAGGACACCCCAGGCCTCTCTGTGGTTAGAGCTGAGTAGGCCAGGAGTGGCCTCAAGGCAGGAAGGGCTGGGTGGTCACCCACTTGAAGGCAGTGCCGGAAATCAGGCGGATCAGAGCTCAAGGCTACCAGGGGTGTCTGGCCTCCCCAGCAGCCACAGGGCCTGCAGGGTAGGAAGCTTGCTGTCCCTTGCCCACCCTCATTTATTTTTTGATAAATGTCCATCCTACACCTAGTGTCCCCGATTGGTAATGTCTTATGTTAGTATAGTATGTTTGTCACGACAAGTGAATCAATCCTGATTCATTATTAACTAGAATATCAGTTGCCATCGAGTCGATTCCAATTCATGGTGACCCATGGGTGTCAGAATAGAACTGTGCTCCACTGGGTTTTCAGTGGCTGATTTTTTGGAAGTAGATCGCCAGGGCTTTTTTCCAAGGCACCTCTGGGTGGACTAGAACAGCCAACCTTTTGGTTAGCAGTTGCCAGTTAAGTGTGCCACCTAAGACCCTTATTAACTTAAACAAACCAAACCAAACCAAACCCAAACGTTGGGGTCAAGTCGTTTCCGACTCGTAGAGACCCTACAGGACAGAGTAGAACTGCCCCATAGGGTTTCCAAGGAGCGTCTGGTGGATTCGAACTGCCGAACTTTTGGTTAGCAGTCTGTAGCTCTTAACCGCTGCACCACCAAAGTCCACCTTTATTCAGATTAATCTTTGTTCCTGAATGTTCTTTCCCATCCCATCCATCCCCGCTGATATGCAGAGCTGAAGTAGGTCCGTTTTTGGTGGGTGTGGTGTTCGTTGTCTGGATAGAGCAGAACACACCCCAATTTATGAAGCCGTTCCACTGCCGGGTGCCTTCGGTCAGCTCCGGTGAGCCTCGGTGCGGGTCTTTGGGGAGCATGCGCGCATTTCTCTCTGGGGCACCCCGGGGTGGGTGCCGCAGGGGCTCTTCTGCGTAGTGGGTGCCGCCGACCCCTCTCCAAGGCGCCAGCGCCCCAGCCCTCCTCCCCCGCCAGCGCTTGGTATGGCCTTCCTGCGGTGGGCGTGGGCATTTGAGCTGCGTTTTCCCTGCCGCCTTTCGCTCCGCTGCTTACGGGGACCCACGTAAGATGGCATTTGCTACAATGCGGGTGTGAACACGACTGTTGTGAGCAGGGCGCGGCACCGTGGGGAGCGCTGTCTGCCTCCGGAAGCCGGTTCACGCTGCCTGTCCGTAGGTGCCAGGAGGGGCTGGGTGCGGCGGGGCACCCTGCTTCCAGGGCCACGCTCACTGCTGGGGACCCCAGACTCAGACTGTTCATTTGGGGAGGGAAAGAGGGGGAGACGGAGAGGAGGTTGCAAGGTCCCGGGTGGCCCCTACCCTGAGCGTTCAAGGCCCCGCCCCGCCCCCAGCTCCCCTTCCCCCCAGCTTGGTGTCCTCCCGAGGGACTAAGCCCCGCCCCTCAATTTCAGGCCCCGCCCCTGACGTCCTGGCCCTCCCTGCCCATGCCCCCCACGAGGCTCAGGCCCCCTTCCTCCCCTTCACCCCCACAAGTTGCGGCCCCGCCCCGACCCCCTGCCCAGACTCAGCTCCCCCTGTTGCTTCTGCGACTGGGGCGAGGGGAGGTAGTGGGGGAAGGCACCCCGATCGCGCCGCTAGGGCTCAAAACCGTGAGTCGCTGAGCCCCGCCACCCTAGCCCCCTCCCAGGCCTTCCCCTGTCCCCTTGCTGCCTGCGAGTGGAAAATTCACGGTTTTCACCTTTTCACATCACGGTGATTCACACCCAGGAGAAGGCGGGTTGCTTGTTTTTCTCATCTCGGAACAAGATTTGTCGGTCAACGCCAAGGGCATGGCGCGGTGGATCAAGTGAAGTGCTGGGCATTGCGTGCTGTGCGGAAGTCCTGCGTCCCTCCTGGCTGGCGGTGCAGGGCTGGCATCGGCCACGGTGCTGGGTGGGCATGGGCCCCAGAGCGTACGGGGCAGGTTAGGCGCGGGGCAGGTTGGGCGCGGGGCAGGGTGGGGTGCGTGGGTGG